GAGCCCGGCCGACCTGCCGGCGCGCAAGCTGCGCATTGTTTCGAATGACGAAAAGCAATACTTCGCTATCGCGGACGATAATGGAAGCCTGTGTGTGAACGAGAGGATAGACCGGGAGGATATCTGCGGGGACGTGTCGCCCTGTGTCCTCAGTTTCGAGGCGGTGGTGGAAAACCCGTTCAATATATTTCATGTGAGCGTTACTATTCATGATATCAACGACAACGCGCCACAGTTCGGCAGAGAATTTGTTGACCTAGAAATAACGGAATCCACGCCTCCAGGAGCGAGGTTCCCGCTGGGAAGTGGCAGAGACCCTGACGTTGGTGCTAACTCTTTGCAAAACTACCAGCTTACACCCAATCCTCTATTTTCCCTAGTAGTGAAGGAGAATCCCGATGGCAAGAAACACGCGGAATTGCTACTGGAGAAACAGCTAGATCGAGAAAAACAGGAAAATCACCATTTGATACTGATGGCGGTGGATGGTGGGCATCCAGTCAGATCCGGGACTGTACACATTATGATTAATGTGACTGACGCCAACGACAATACCCCGGTATTCACCAAGGAAATGTACAAGGTCCGACTGGAGGAAAACTTGCCTGAGGACTCCTTAATTTTTCAGGTGGAAGCCACTGACAGTGACGAAGGTACAAATGCGGAAATTACCTACTCTTTCAGTGACATCGGAAACAGAGCTCGCCAACTTTTCGGGCTGGATCCCAGAACAGGTGAGGTCAAGCTTACCGGTCCCTTAGATTTCGAAGAGGCCAAATACTACGAGGCGACCATTGAAGCCAAAGACGGAGGCGGGCTGAGTGGCCACGCCAAGGTCCACATAGACATTCTAGACATGAACGACAACGCTCCAACACTTTCCCTCCTGCCTATCTTGAACCCGATACCTGAAGACTCGGCTCCAGGCACAGTTGTAGCGGTGATCAATGTTCGCGACAGGGACTCCGGAGATAACGGAGATGTAAGCTGTTACATAGACGACGATTTGCCTTTCAGACTGGAATCAGCTTCGAAAAATTCCTACAAATTAGTAACTGATAAT